ACAACTACTACAACTACTTCTTCTTCTAGTACTGCTACTACCACTACCACTACCACTACGACTACCACTACCACTACCACTACTACTACTACTACTCCTCCTCCTCCTCCTGCTGCTGCTGCTGCTGCTACTACTTCTTCTTGTGGCTCCGTTATTACAATTGTCATTGTTGTTGCTGATTGCTGCTGCTGCTGCTGCTTTTGCCGCTGCTACTTCTACTCTCCTGCTGCTACGACTACAACCGCTCCTACTGCTGCTTGCTGCCGTCGGTGCTAGGAGTATGCCGAGATTTAGCTCAATTGTGAGTGACAACAAGCTGCACGTTTGAGGCAAGGACCTGGCCAGCAATTCCATGGCTAACGAGGCTGGCTTGGGCAACCGTTTTGTGGGTTACAGAGGATCTCGTGACTTCGAGCAGGCACGCCTGTACCCCAAGACTGCATTGGCCTGCGGAGGGCCTCACGCTTGCCAGTCATGTTGAACCACGCATCTGGAGTACTTCTGTCATGTTTCGTTTCGCCCCACGTGGTTGTTGGGCTTATGACATGGGAACTGGGTCTATATCCTTGCCTGCCATACAAGCAGTGCTCTTGACCGCGTTATGTTCCCATGCTTTCGGGCTATGGGTTCAGTATCCCCAAGATTCAGACTTGATTGCTATGTAACTTGTGCAAGAGTATCGTGAAAACTCTTTATTGACTCTATTGCCTCCAGACTGCTTGGTTGTGGCATGTCAGCTCGCCTCACATCCACAAGTTGTGCGTTGATAGGTCGTCATGGATATCGTGAACGGTTTCCAGATGAAGATGGACATGGACGCCCAGTTGCCTTCAGAATTGAATCAAGCCCCAAGCCCCCGAAACCCTCAACTCGCCACCACAGGAGATGTATGGCTCAACGAATGTGACAATGGGCACGATGTACGATTGGATGGAGTGCTTCTCGCCACCTGGCCTTGAGGGTTGTTCGCGCTGCTTACTGTAGCTCACACACCGTTCAGCCCTTGTCTTCGTTGCTGAGAATCTGGTGTTTGTTAAGCCAGAAACATGCTCAAATGCTTTAATCTCCGAGCTCACCTCTCCGCACCGGCCAAGCAGCGACGCCGTCCCAAGTTTTCACACATTGCCCAGGGCCATCAAGAGCATGTCGGCCATGCTGAACCCGGAGCAAGACGTCTACGACAGCAATGGCTACACCACGAACAAGCACTGGGTCTCTGGCTGCGGCCTAAGATCTAGATGCTATCTCCATTCGTGCATGACTTGCATGGCCTGTGCAGCATGCGACCTGCCGATTGCAGGCCCCAACCACGTTTTCAAGAACATCTTGGATGCCATGTTCAAGGGCGCATACATGGACATGTACGACTCCTTCTTCCTCATGGAGTGGAAAGGGCTGCCGAAGATTCAACAAAATAAGTGTGATTGTGAAGCAACTCACGATGCAATAAACAGGGTCTAGACATAGCGGGCCTAGTACCGCAGCCACCAGCATCTGAGACAAGCAATCCTCCCATGACAGGTATTGCTTCCTGTCAAGTCTGTAGATGCAGGTTGAATGCATTGCTGATTACCCTTTTCCTTTCGCAACAGTTTAAAGTTCTACTTAAAACGCAACACGGCGCCAGAATTGCTTGCCCGGTCGAGACTTGATGGTTTAGAATGTTCCGACATAGGTCACTGTAAACTCGGACCTCATTGCAATGACTGCAAAGTGCCCCTCAAAGCGTCGGAGCAACCGGCAGAATTGGACAGGAGATGGATGCGGTCCCTATCAAGTCCAATTGGCTCGACCAGTTCGAGATGGAGGTGAGTCTCAGAAACAAACGAGAGCCACACGTTTTGATTGGTGGCGCGACCATCTAGGTCCAATCCATACGCTGCCATAGATGACGTTTTGTTGCTGTTGTTCTACGGGAGTTGCGAGAACCAACTTTAGCCGCCGTCTTGTACAATCCTGGTAAAGCCCTGCCCCATGGGCCTTGCGCACCGCCGGTGGAGATTTCTGGAAGGTGTTCTGGTGAGGAGCACCTCTCACAGCCCAAAGCCTAAAAGACGAGCACTTGCCCTGCTTATTGTGCTCATGCAGGCGCATGAGGTTCATGACAACAACCAGGCGGTGCGTGGCAGCCAATACCTAGGCCCGCTTGGGGCCAACCGGCTTTGGGGCTTGTTGCAGACTCAAACCCGTCCTAGAAATCCAAGAGGCTCAGAAGGCCCTGCCCTGGGCTCGGAGTTTCTCACGGCAGGCGACAAGTGGGATCTGTTCGAGCACCAGATGCCAGTGTACTTGGTCGACCACATCAACGGCAATGCCATCTACAACCTGAAGCACCCTTGGACCAGGCGCCAGTGGCTCCCATTTTGAGCCATATTCTAACCCCCTCGGGTCTGCTTTCCCCGTCCAGGGCTGGAGGCTTCCCAGGAATCCTCAAGGTGGAGAGTACTTAGTGTAGACTTAGCCGATCCTGCTGTTTGCATTTTTTTCATTCTGAGATGGCTCAGGTATTTGTACGACACCTTCACGATGGTGGGGGACGCGAGCATGATGGAAGAGATGGCCTTCGACGTCGCGTTCGCTCCATGGCAGAGGGAGCGATCTCAGGTTCTGCAGGGTATTGCGGGGTTGTGGCAGGAGAGTAAAATGCCAAGGCCCACTCTGGGCCCTAGGCCCTTTTCTGGACGCTTCGAAGACCAAGGCCATGATCACGATGGCTGCCATGTCGGGGGATCCCATGCAGCTGGCCTGTACCTACTAAGGTTCACTGGTCTGTAATGGCGGCGGTCGGTTTTGGCATTTTCAGTACGAAGCCCGAAGCTGCAGGAATCTTTATTCCTTTCTTCCTCAACCCCCTGCAGGACATAATTCGGGTCGTTGTAGGAGCCTGTTGACGTGACTTAGTGGAGCAGACCAAAGACACTTATTGCTGTTCAGAACTCGTCCTGAAGCTTCTGATTGTTGCCAAGGTATTCTACAAACTGGACCGGCGACAACATGACTTACAACACGCACACCATGCTAGTGGGCAACTACGCCACTGGCTCAGCTATTCGTTTGCTGCTTTCGTGGCTCCGTCCATAAAGTTTTCAGGCAAACACCCTCCTGAACACGAGCTACGAGTTCGGAACCTACATCCGTCACGGCTCTGGCAAGAATCTCTTCGAGAACTTGGATGCCGCGGCCTAAGCCATGCCCTGCTGCACCGACAAAAAAGTGATGCCGCACTCGGCTTGAGGACGACGACGTCACGTTGGGAGTTGCCTACTTCGATCACCAGGGCCACTTCATGGAGACTGCCGCCCGGCCTCGTTGCAGCTCGTTGTTCGGCACATAGCTGGATGCAAGCGCCCGTTTTTTGCAGGTTCCGACGCACCATCCCTTCAAGAAGATCCTGGGCATCACCTACTTCGATCAGCCCAACTCTACCCAGACGATTGTCGCCCCGGACGGCAGCTCAGCAGCGAATAAACGACCATGACACCAGCCACGTCGGCGATGCTGATTGTGATGGTGGTGGCAGTTGTGGCGGTTGGCAACTGCCTGCGGATGTTTCTCCTGCTACTGCTGACTGATGAAGATTATTCTAATGATGCTTGATGCGTTCCTGCTACGGTGATGATTTCCACTACTGTTATGTAGGATTGTAGGATCAGTCTACACTTCACTCTGAGTTCAGGCAATGTCACAATGATGATGCAGACGGCCATGTATGGGCCTTACTACCACCTCTGCGAGATTGCGAAGTTGGTGGACACCGAGTGGTTTGCCAGGGCCCAAGTGTTGCTCTGCAGTATCATGTTGGAGCGTGTCTCCTCCGCACAAGGCTTGTACTGCAAGCCGCGAGTCCGGAAGAAATCCTGAACCTGAATCCCAAACCACAATCCCATGGCCGGAACCGCAGACGGCTTGTAAGCAAGGTGCAGCAGCCTGCTTTGCTGGCGTGGCTCAATACATCCTGTAATTATACCCTTGCTCAAGGACCAACAGCCTGGAACCGGACTGCCGAAGCAACTCCGAGGATTTCTGTCGTTGGTGCTGCGTGCAGTCTCCCAAGGCCCTCACTGACAACTACCACATCGTGAAGGCTCCTGTGAGCGTCCTCATGGATGAGAGCAGTGAGAGACTTTGACCGCAGCTACGACTTTGGTTTCCATAGCCGAAGCTTTTTTTTTTCTACGCGGGAGAAGTGGGGCTCAGGATGAAGAAGCCAGTGCTGCCGTACGTCCTCAAGGACTCCAAGTACTGTGGCGAGCGTCCGAACTGCAAGGCCTCCATGGAGCAGGCGACGCCTCCCAGAAGAGCAAAAAAACGAGGCTCAAGGCGACTGTCAGGTCGGTGATGAAGTGCTTGTTTTTTCAGCCTATACAGCCTGTACTCGTGGTGCGACTCTGCGATGCCGGCTTGGAAGGCTCTCTGACAGGGTCGGAAGGCTCGAGGCCATGACACAGCGAGACATCTGTGATGTCGCAGCAGCCAGCCCGCCACTGAAGTCTAAACGCCGTGGGTTGGATCGCAGTCTTCCGATCGAAATGCCAGCAGCAGGGCTCGAGGTAGGCCCAGGGGCCCAGCCCGCTCTGTCAGGCCGAGGATCTGTTCAGCATTAACTTGAACTACCACCACGACAAGTACGAGGTGCTGTACAAGACCGTGCCTGTGGCCACAATTAAGCAGAAAACAATAAGCTACTTAAACATGTTCTTGTGAGCGGGATATCCCCATTTAATGAGTAGCCATGAGTGGGATGGGTTTGGGGTTTGGGGTACCTCATGCGCCGCCAGCATGATGCCCGAAACTCTCGTCCAAATTGTCTCCAAATTGGGCATGAGCCTGTTCCGTTGCCGCTTCATGCTGCCAGGGACAGTCGTGCTTTCTGAAACGTTAGGCGTTCCCTGTAAGGGCCTGGCGAACTCTGTATCTTGGATGCTCTGATAAGTTCATCCAGAAGCAGATCAATAGCTAAAGCTCGCAAATCTTCTCAGAACTCCATGGAAATTGTAGACCTAGAGCTCTGGATCCTGAGCTCCGTGCCGTCAACTGCAACCCTGAACTCTGAACCCCGAGCTTTATCCTCGTGGCTTGGCCGCGCCTTCAAAACCCGACGCGTCACCCAAGGCTGATGCACGCATGTTCTGCGACGCTTGGGACGCGGCCACCGAGGGCAAGAGCTGGGGCTCCTCAGCTGCTATGGAGAGGAGAGCTGCCACAACGCTATAGACTGTGCACTGCTGCGGATCACACTGGCGGTGGATGTTGTGATGGCAGTCGCAATGATGATGCTTCGGCCGAGCTGCTGCTGATGGTGATGAGTTATGAAGTCTGACTTTGAGGGGGATGTGGCTGCACCTACTGATGAAGGGGGGGGGTGTGGGGTGTGATGACAGCGTTGATAATGGTGATGCCACCGGTGGTGATCATTATGATTCCATGGTGAAGTTGACTCTGATGTTGATGCCGCTGCTGCAGACCCTAACAACAAGATGTCTAGTTGCGGATATGGTGGTATGGTGGTAATTCATGGGTGTCCCCTTGCCCTAACCTACATCTGCCTGATAGGCATTCCGACTAACGGGAGCCTGGCAGACGGAAAAGAGGTCTCAAAAAAGAACACCCGAATGTTAACACCCTACTGTCCCCAAATCCGAACCCTGAAGCCCAAAGCACAAAGCCCCCGAAGTCTGGTGTCCTCTTCTCGTTAGGGAACTGCAGCCTGGCCTTTGGCCCCACCGCGGATGCCAGATGCAAGAAGTAGAGACGTGGGCTGTTCTAAATTCAGAGTGATCCTGGCTCTTCTTGCTCATTCAGGGAAGAAACAGGTGACTCGAACTCGCACCAAGAGCAAAGTCAGGATGGTTTTCAAACTGTGCTTAGTTGGGTTTTCCCGTCTTCTCATGACCGTAGCTATAGTGGGAGTGTCGGAGACTTGCTGAGTGTGCTACCCTCCTTTTTGTTGGGCTGGCATCAACGTCTTAAGTTACCTTCTCTATGTGACGACCAATGTACAGCCGGGTCCAGGTTGAATCGAAGTAACAGCACCGCTTCGTAATATGTTCAGCACATGCTTCGCTGTGATGCAAAGTGCTGCCTGATTCCCGTGACCTCCGCGAGCTGTAGGTGTTGCACATAGGGTGCGAGAAGGCTCGCGAGGATACCGTGATGTAGAACCAGAGTCGATTGTACAGCAGTGCTACGTTCCAATGCGACATACATAAGAAGGTGCAAGCCAAGGCATGAGCAGTCTATTTAGGAGCAGCATGAGATATCTCGAGCACACAGTTAGCGCAGAATGAGTCTGTTAGATGATGCACAGAGCAGATAACACAAGACGGTCGGACGAGGTTGTACTTAATACGGGTGACGTTGAAGAAAGTTGTAATCGGTCATGCAATACTCTCGTCTTAATATATGTATATATATATAATATATAAAATATATATGTATATGTAAAAAAATATATATATATATATATATATGTATGTATATATATATATCTATCTATCTAGCTAACTCTAATCTCTAGTATTTGTTATGTAGTGGAACTGCGAACACTTGCAGTACGGGCTTGCCAGGTTTCAACATTGCCCAGATGCTGTGTTTATTCGCCAGACTTTCGCAGGGTTGAATTTCTGGCTTTCAGGTTTCTCGCACTGGAATCCGGCAAGCTTTGACCTAAGACCTATCGAACATTCGAAGCTAGTGCATGTAGCGCTTTGACTAGGCTTATCGGATCCGTTTTTTCGCCTACCCCCCCAACTCTACAGTCTTGAGGACGACTACATTGCTTGGAAGATCAGTGACCCAAAGTACAACATCGCTGATGAGTTCACCCCGAAGGACAAGGCGGGCGCTGAGGAAATGGAGCTCATGTACATGTAGAGTAGACCTCGCACAGTGGAATAGGTGCAGCGGTAGCGCAGCGGAAGACGCCTACTCAAGAATACAACACCGGCCAGATTTCTACTGTCACATGTGCTGTAGAATAGTGAATAGTGCATGGATTGGTGGCAGGTCGCACGCATAGCAACACAGATGTCCATTCAGGAACAAGCTTCGATTGACCATAATTGGTTTACCACCGCAAAGCACTGAAATGGTGACCTTGAAAGTTGCATCTTGCACTGACGTTTGTGTGCATTCAAGCTTCCGGCATGTTGACAAGACACGAAGCAACTTCAACAGCGGCAGCTGCACGCCTGAAGCATCAGTTTCGATTCGGAGGCTTCTGTCATACTGGTGCTGGAATGTCTGCTTGCTGACAGGAAGTTGAACCTAGGACCTAGCACATCTCTTTGTGATTTCATCGCATGCCACGATGTGCCGCGGGCAACCACGTGCAAGGTAACTGCAAGTCTGGCAATAAGCATCATCAGCCCTTGCCGAGTTTCTGCAGGCCTCCGACTGAACCAGACACTGAAAAAATCTGTCCGCCCAGACACGCTATGGCTGGAGAGCCTGGACTAGCTTGTGGAACCCAGCTCCGGTCGATGACCGCATGTGCGACACGACGCTGTACGGTGTGAAGGACGGCCTGGACCCTGTTTGGTACCACTGCACCCTAGCATCCCTACCAATATGTCTAGCATCATGATTAGCTCCAATTATGCTGCCGTCATGAGTGCCTCCGCTGTGTGTAAAGCGGTACTTAGAATGCACTTGCAGCTAGTAGTAGAACTGCCACCGCCACGACCACGACGGTTACGACTATACCTCTACTAACTCCTTCTGCTACGTCTTGTCTGTCGACTGCTGCTGCTTCCCGTCCGTTTTCAACATCTCAGCACGTAGCCACTATCGCTAGAATGCATTGCCCTAACTATAAGTCTACAGTTTCTGTTCTCGTCATTATGAGAGCCGTATTGTTGCGATTTGCGATTATTGCCAGATGCGAAGCGTGACGGTTACTAAGCGTAAGCTGATTGTTGATGCCGATTCCTACGATCCCTTTTGCAGTTGGTAAACTCTCAAGGGTTGTACTCGATCAGGCAATGTTTGGGCACATGTGCGCCGTTCCTTCTGGACCAACTTTCGTGGTTGGGTGTTGCAGTTATTGAGATCAGGCGGAAGAGACGGTGCTGCGAGGATGTCAAATTTTCTAGTCCAAGCTGAGTTGCCCTGTTTGGGTAAATGGCCAATGGTACTAGATTAGGTTGGGCAAGAGGGGCCATTGTACTAGCTCAGAATGGGGTACGAATACTACAGCATTCGAGAGTGGCACCATAAACAGAAGTCATGAAGAAGAGATTTGTACGATGTTTGCACAATGCCTACCATGACGCTGGCGTTCATGAAATTCTCTTTCCTGCTGAGTAGTCACATCTATCTGAAGAGTTGGCCTCCGACTGTGTGCTTCCTCCTGCGCTTGCAGGAGTATCTTGAGACGCTCGGCAACATCTCCACCTGCGCCGTTGACTATGCTCCTTGGCCAACTTACCGAGCGGTGCACTCCCCTCAAAGAGAAGGAGGCCGCAGACAGGGTTGGAGATTCTTGACTGGCACGCGCCCAGATCATACAGTCATACAGCCAACATGAAGGACATCTTCGATGTTTTCTCGACAGAGGAGCGGAAATGGACAAATGCTGGATGACCATGAGCAGCAGACGTGTTGAGAAGGATACCAGGAGCAGGAAGAGCAAGACTAACACATGAAGCCCGAAATTCATTACTCAACTAAAGCACACACTTCTTCTCTCGTTTGTCTGTAGTTGATTTAATTTGACCTTTTGCTTCCCGTTCGTTCCCCATTCCGCTCCGATCATGCCACTCACCAGGCTGTTGCCATTAGAAGATAGGCGTTCTTGAAGGATTGGAAATAAGACTTGGAGATGAAGACAGAAGACTCATGCATCTAGTTCCAGCTCCAGCGGTAAGACTCATGAAAAGACGAGTGTTATCCAGACCAGGCGTTAACAGGGTTCGGTGGCTTATTTTTTCCCTTTGCCAACTTATAATGCTGTGAGAAAAAGGAAACGGTAATGGAATGAAAGGAGTGAGTGAAGCACGCGTTCCTTCTTCTCACGCCTTATTTAGTTGGCAAAAGAAAAAATGACCCAACCTTGGACTCGTTCACTTGTAATGGTTTTGTTTAATTAAAATGAATGCGTGCGCTTCTCTTCTTTCGCTTACCATTTTATTTTAATTAAAGAAACCAGAACAACAGAACGAGAAGGAATGAACGGTGACAACAGACCCTGATTTCCAAGGTGTTACACGGTTATAGCTGGAGAACCTGATGTTGATGGTTCGTGTGTTTAGTTTAATAATAAAAAACAAGGGACGCGTGTTTTTATTAATTAAACACAACACAAACGAAACAACAACAGCAGATTCGCAAGCCAGGTTTCGTTCGTATTTTGCTCGTTTAATTTGCTTTATTCATGCTTCCTCTCCACTCGTCCCTCGCTTTCGTTTCATTATAATAAAGCAAAATAAACAGCGCAAAAGACTCTCTTCACATTAACACGAACCTGGCATCGTGACTAAATCTGACCTATCATGTGGTAAGTCTCCTGTAGGCCAAGGTGAATAGAATGTCCTAAGCTTATATGATTATAGGATATCTTAATGGTAGAATATCTTGTAGGTTACTGTCATTAAGAATTATTAGAAGAAAAGAAAGGACGCATGCCAGGAATAATTAGGATGTGGTTCCTTGTAGTCATTATCTTTACTCTGGAATCTTTTAATGGGATTCTCCTATGTTTAAGGGTCCAAGAATAATGATAACGGGATTTCCTTGAAACAAATAAGCATATTGGATGGGCGGTTGGATTCATTATAACAGAGCTTCGTGGATTCAATTGTAATTAATATAAGATAGACCAGAGAACACCCAACCGCTAATATGGTTCCTTTCGGCTTTATTCTCATCCTACTTGGTATCTTATCAATATTCTCTTGTGCTTTGTTAATAATAGAATATGCATTAGAAATAGGTCAAAGTATTCATGAAGGTTACAATATTCTATCTACAAGCTATTCCAGAAGTTAGAATGCCGTGAGTGGACGGTAGGAAAATAAGAAGCATAATAAATAACCACACGCCAGGAACGGTTCTCTTGTTTCGTTTACTTTTAATAAAATCATGCTTTCATTCGCTTCTCTCACTTCATTATATTTTATTAAAAAGTAAAAAGAAACAAGGCAAGAGAAAGGAAGGTGAGTGTTGTTTACTTTGCCTTTATTTCAATGAGAAGGAAGCGAAGCGAGAATAAAGGCAAAGCAAAAGACACACACCACTTCTCTTTCCTTTTTGCTTCTTATTTTGCTCTTTTTGGGTTCGTTTCGTGCTTCATTCGTTTCTCTCACTCCATTACAAACGAACCCAATTAAAAAGGCAAAAACGAAGGAAAAAGAGCCATTTCGTTCCTTTCTCGCTCCTTTTTTATTTATTAAAACCGCGCATTCGTTCCATTTCATTCTTCTCCTTTGCGTTTTAATAAAGAAAAATAGAGCGCGAGAAACTCTCTTCATATATTTCTAGTCCTTCTTGGGTGATTTGTCTTTCTTTTCTTTGCACATTCGTTTCGCGCTTCCGTTACACTTCATTGCAAACGAATGTAGCAAAAGAAAAGAGACAAATGAACCCAAAGCCTACATGACAGTCACTTCCTGGTTCTGTTCTCTTATTGTGTGGTGTTGCGTTATTAATTAAATTAAAGGAGAACCACGCTTCCCTTCTTTCCATTGTGTTCTTTTCCTTTAATTTAATAAAACACAAGCAACACACAACAAGGAACAGATAAAGAGGAAGTAAGGTGGAAAGGAATAATGAAGAGCATGAATTGAATAAAATAAACACGCATGCGTTTCACTTCTTTGTTTTATTTAATTCATTTCATTTATCTTCATTGTTCGCTTCTCTCACCTTTATTTCTCTAATTAATATTCTCTTCAATGAACAATAATTAAACTCAACACAATATGAAGAAACACTCACCAAATATTAGAATTCTCCAAAATATAATGGGAATTTAGCATGAGAATGAGCTCCAAGAATAATATTATAGGAAGGATGAATGGAGACAAAGGTGGATTCCTCTAATAAAGGTTTAGGTCCTTCATCAAAGGTAATTCTCATTAATATATATGGTAAGAGGAGAATATGTGTATTTACTAATTAAAATGTGTACTCTTCCAATATTTAATGAAGTGTAACGGTAGATTACTAATAAAGGTTGAACAAGGAGAATCCCATTAAGAATTCCTATAGAAGTAAATAAAACAGAGAACACCTATATTATAATTGTAATTCCCTAACCGTTCATTCCATTCACTCTTTTTATAATGGAAATCAGTTCATATGCTGGCTCTCACGTCACAAGCTCCTAAATCCTATGTCCTTCTAATAATATAACTAAATCTTCCTATTCATCTAGGTCCTGGTGTCATTAGGTGATAGGGAAGTCCTAGAAGCACATGGAATAAGGAATCACCCAGTAATATTAAGTGAGACAATATGAAATAGAATTATGGAAGGAAAGTCAAGGGAAACAATATGCTTTCTTTGGGATTCACCGCATTCTACTTCCCATCTCTCCCGTACACTTGGCATATTAGAAGTAGGACATAATTCATAGAAACAAAGGTGGAACCAGAGAAGCGATTCCCAAGGTGATTACAGGGTTAGGCGGTTACACCCAGATAAAGGACCAGGAACGGTGGTAACTCCTAGACAAATAACTTAACGAGACAGGCGGTTGGCTTCCAGGATTTATTGTCTAGTTTTCTTTGAATAATTCTAATTAATATCTTCTCTTTGTATTCTTTCTCTTATCTCTTTACATCATTTCCATATTATTTTAGGTTTACTAATCACCAACCTTTGTTCCCATTATTCCCTTCTTGTGTGTTATGTTTAAATGAAAAAGAAGTGAAACAAGTGAAATGAAAAGTAACGCGTGTTCCTTCTTTTTACGTTTAAAATTAACACAAACAAGAAATGAATAATGAGGAACAGGAGCCTGTGTTGAATTTAAAGAAAGAAACACGCGCTTCGCTTGTTTTCTTTCATTAAACTAAACACAGGAGACAGGAAGAGGGTGGTGGTGGGCAAAGGAGGAAGGATGTAGAAGGGAAATGCATACGTTCCTTTCCTTTACGTTTCGTTCCATTAAAAATTATTTGCAACGAAAGAAGAACGAAACGTGAAAGGAATGAACAACGCATGCCAGGCTTGGAGAATAGGGAAAGAGGATAAAGAAATGAGAGATAACGAGAAGGACGAACGAAATATTCTCTTCATTCATTGTTCGTTCATCGCTTCTCTCTTCTCTTTCTTTATCATCTTTCATTGCTTTTCCTTTATATTTCTTCTCTCTTTCCCTTTGCCTTCTTTCATGCTTTCTTTTCACTTTGTTCCATTACATTATAAAGAAGGCAAAGAGGAAAGGGAAACGAGAAGAAGCATAAAGGAAAACATGAAGAGAGTATTTTGTTTCTTTTTCCTATTGAATTAAAACAAAAGATGAAAGACTGCGTGTTTAATTCAATAGAAAAAGGACAAAATAGGAACCTTGGAATCGCATGCCAGGTACGTTCTATTTCTTTTGCTCTTTTAATTTCGTTGCAAAGAATGCGCGAACAAATA